AAAATATTTTGATGATATTGTTACATGTTGGTCTATAACGGCGGTCGTAAAATGAATGTGTTGCGTAGGAATCCACATAAAACTATTAAGTCTCACGGAGTTTGACATCTAGTAGATGGCGCGATAGTTGCTTTTTTGGCCATAAAATCGCGTTTTTTTTGGTGTACTGCGATAAATGTCGTCTTATCAACGTGTCGAGTTGTCGACGCCTCCAACCACAGCAATCAAAACACCATTCGAGGCGGCCATTAAAAATGATATAAAGTTTAATTTACAGCTCCGGCTTGTCTCGGATTAACTGTTATCGGTATTATAATGGCCACATCCAGCTCTTGACGAAATTGTTTTCTTTGTTAATATAAAATAAAGCAATAAAACGAATTTAAGATACCTCCGCTAGAGACACTATTATATATTCTTCATGACGAATTTCGATCACAAATATTTACCATGGTTTGGCTGATAGTAACCTATTATATTATACATATATGTATATAACCTAAGTCGAATTACATCGTAGATTTGATATACAAGGGCTTACGAGTTAAGTTGACTGTATGTTGTTATACTGCTGCCCTTGTTGTGTACAAAACAGCGAGTCCAAGCAGCCCCACGGGACGCGCATTGTTTACGATGGTACACCACTTCTACTACAATGATTTACGAACGCCTCGCACTCATAAAAGTGGGGACAACGTACTAAAAGATACAAAAGGTGCTAAAGAAAAAGTAATATATTTTAAGTTGGAGAAAACGGATATAAAAGTTCGTTGAAATATATCGTTTTTTAAGGTTCTGTTAGAGTGTTTGTTTATTTGGAGACGATAACGTATGCCTAAGGATTATCTGCATTTATTTGAGTCGCCAAAGTAGGCTTGAATTGACTACGGAAATTATTTGGATGCCACGTTTATTACTAATTAGAATTAAAGGATATAGAAGTACTGTAAATAGGTTAACTATTGTTACACAATACTCATCAGGTATTATTCAGAAATAATAAAAAGTATGTCGTCAAAGCCATAGGAAGTATTTAATTTTACTTTCTTCGTTTGTAACTTACTACTTTTTTCAGGTTATAACTTTCAAATCGGAACATGGGACCCACATGCCAGACTGTGTCACTGCGAGTTAAAACGATTCTGTTTTTTCAGGAGACCTTTCACCAGCTGCGTGACCTCTGGTGTCAACGCTACTGACTTCACACAAAAAAAATTGTACCCAATGTTGGGGATTATTCGAACCGCGTCGCCCACCCACGTGGTCGCATAATTCTTCCTGAACGAGCCAACTTCATTATTGTGGCGTGAGATACAATAGTTAAGATCAGGATTTATAAGTTGAACACGTTGGCTTCTGTTTATAGCTGGCTGAGGTGTGCGGAGGGCGGGTGTTGTGAGCGTCTGCGCACCGATTTATGACCGTGCCCGATAAAAGCTTAAATACTTACTAAAAATTGTTCAATGGCTGTATGCATTATGTCGACGGGAACACTACACTGTTTCTTGATACGCCTTTACAGAATTTTATTGCTTACGCAACCCTTTTTATGTTACAATAGGATAAAATCAAGTCAAAATACATTCGAGCTACCTAACTGCTTGAAATAATAATTCAAAGGATATCATATGAAAAGAACGAAGTATTTTAACCTGAAAATTATAAATATCATTATGCTAAAAACCATGGAATAGTTTTCAAATTAGGTTGACCTTTCCGACATAATTTTCGGCTAGGTCAGCCAATAAACCTTACAAAATTTAGTAATAAAACCGCATTCGTATAAAATTATAGTAATCGAAAATTACAATTTTAGTTAATAGTCAGGATTAACAATCCAAGGAAACCATTAAAACCGCCGTGGGCTGTAGAGGCGGTAACTATATATGTGGCTAAGTTGAGTAGATTGTGGCTAATAGTACATAAATAATGAGCTTATCCACGCAACAATGGCTTCGTGGAGGCCACCGTACAATAATGAGGTATTATAGCCCATTTCTCACATTCGAGCTTACCGAGTTATCGATTGAATCTTATACAAATATCGAGATAAATGACATCACTATTTGACTTGACCCGTTTTGTACGAAGTAAATGGCGTGTCTCATTCCGTATAATATTATTTGACAATAATTGTTTTACGAAATATATTTAATGATTTAGAAATATTAGAGTTAGTGTCATAGCTATAGTTTTCTCAGTGATTTTTATATAATAAGTAAAATATCTGTATGTCTTTATATAAGCGTGTATTTTTAAATTTATTTTTAACCGGTCTTTAAATAGAAATGAAGGATCGAATTATTTAAGGATCGGTATTGATGGTGTGGCGACCGTCAAGGGCAGAGGGCGCTATGTTTGGGGAGCAAGCGGAAAATAACACGGAACTGTTTCCATTGTAGAATATATTTTTTTATTGAAAAAAAAAATATAATTATTGCCAGTACTAAAAATAAAATCGATATAATGAAAATATATGTCATGATTTTAATGTAAAATTATATTTTGTTGATTAAATCGTTTTCGTATTATCCTTTATGATATATATAATTTATATACAATATAGTGCGAAATATAATTCGTATGGCGGTAAATTATAAATCTCCATATGACGGATCGTTTCGGATCCGTCTGTTGGGAGTCTGTAAGAAACTAATCCGTCTCGCGGGTGGCCGCAACCCGACACCGGGCATTACATTTGTCATGTATAATGCGCGATTTGTTGCTTGTTGCTCCTCGCCTTTTTATGTTTCCCTTATTCTTTATTCAAATATTTGACTCGCTTTTTTTTTAACTGGCAATTATTTATATTATCTGTACTTGTCAAATGTAGATCGATTTGACGTATCGGAATTAGCTTTGGTACAATTAAAAAGATAATTAATTTATTATATTACGCGTTTTGGAAATACAGATTATGTCAAAAAATTAAAAATTATAGATAAGTAATAGTAATGTCACATTAGGTATAGATTAAATTGTATGCAATATTTGTATTTCTATACAATTGAATAGAATTGATTTTCAACATTCGTTAATATCATTGTTTCTATAGTGAGTTAATTAGTGTGTAATGAAACAGGCTCCATCGCAAATTGCGCTTCCCCATCTCGTTTGAAATTGATTTCAGAGAGCACTCGTCAGTTCATTTCACGCTTTGCGATTGTACTCGCGTTTTTGAATGTCCATTTAAGTATTTATTTTTATTTGTTTTGAATATAAGTATGTGTAAATGTCTTCGTTTTTTTAATATTCTTACGTTTCTCTTTAATTATTTTTTTTATTATACATTAACATACCTATATATTTACATGATATTTGTGACATGATAAAAGAATAACAATTTCATTTATGCTTTTTTTTAGTAAAACATAAATTACTTTAATCATAATCAATTAAAATAAATAAATATAAATTTATACTTGAACTTAATAAAGCATCTTAAAAAATATGAAAGCGTAGTTATTTAGAAAGCCGATTAGATTTTCGTTTCGGTTTTTGCACAATTCAAGATGGCGTCTTGTGTGGTACACCACGTGTAGTTTGAACAAATATTTGTTCCTTTTGAAACGTTCCCTAAGAAAAAATAAATGGCGCCGTCCTTTGAGTTCTAACATTCATTGTAGGTATATCACGTTATTCTTATAATTCACTTTTTTTGTGTTTATTTTGTATTGTAATATTAGTTCCGGTGTACAATATTTTGACTGGTTTTACGAGTTTTTTTTGGTGGGAAATTAATATGATTTTAAAAGTCATTTATATAGAAATTTAATATTATTCTTACTTAATATAATGATAGCTTATAAAGTTACTTATGTTACTTAGTAAATAAGTGCCGTCGTAAAGTTAGTGACGCCATTTTCTCAAATTGAAAAACACCCGACTACCTCGTAATGTCTCTTAATGCGTGCGAGAGTTATGACTCTCTTTATAAGGTCGATGTTTTTCAATTTTTTTCACTATATTATTATTTCTACCTTTGTTTCATATCAAGTATTATATTAATTTAATTTAGTATACTTAAAATATTTGATAAATTTTTAGAAATAGCTGGATTGTGAAAAATAAAATGCTTAAATCATGATTTAATTTAAGCCTTAAAATATCCTTATTTATCTCATATTATTAAAGATTTTTCATATATATGAGACATTAATATATTTTAGGTATTTATCTATATTTAGGTTCTATGTAACATATATTTATAGAACAGCTTAGTGAGTTCTGTTCGTATGTTGCTTGTTTTGATATTCCAATTGAAAGACGTTCTCTCATTTTGCTTAAAGGAAGCTGAATTATTAAACATCTCGTATAGATCATCTGACGTTTTGGATATCATAGTACGTATACAATATGTATGACTCTAGGTAGAATCGAGATAGAGTTATGTAGAGTCGGAATTATTAAGTTATTTGTGGCTAACCTAATGTTTTTTTTTTAACTGATATAAAAATTTGTACTTATTTGTCCCATTATTATAGTAGTATTGATGAAGTTAAATATATAGTTGCTATAAGTGACAATAAAGCGTTATCAAAGTTTTCTACATTATTTAAAATGCTGATCTGAAAGTATAATCTGTGTATATGAGGAGCCCCTTCAAGTTATTTGTCACAGTATACTTACCATAATACCCTCGGCTTGAGGTCGGAGCTGATCGTCTATCGTCATCTCCCTCTAATGTTCGTGTATCAAGATCGTAACTAGTTCCATCTCACTCTAATCTATCTATCTGTCAATGGGCGGCGCAGTGGCTTTGAATGCGCGAGCGTCTAGTAACGATTATAGAAATGATTTTCTATGAAACAACTGAAAATTATAATAATGTATGATTTTTGTTGTAACTCAATAAATAGTATTTCCTATGAAGCACAAACTGTATACTAACAAAGTATAAGTAAGGGAGCGAGCAAGTGATATGGAATACAAATTAAATAATAATGCTATATTGTTATGAGGGGTGCTCGCTCGGTGACAGCGGGTAGAGCGGCCACTGGATGGAGCGGGTAGGCGGCCCCTCCCTTTCAGTCATCTCTGTTCGCCGCTGGTTATACCACGTCACCCCGCTCTCCTCACAAGCCCCGTTCCGTACAGCTGGTCCCCACTCGCCCCTGCTGCCCCGCCCCGCCAGCAGACTCGCGCATCAGTCAGTCTTCGCTGAACCGCCGCGCCGTTACATTCTATATGTATGTTCATGATGTGTCGGACGGTATGATATAGTTGTCGAGCTGTTTGCCAGTGTACATGGATGTGGTGTCGAGGATGGTGGCTGAGGAGGGTCGGACGAGGGCCACTGACTTCTCAATAGCTGCTATCATGGCGAGGAGTACGGACCAGCCGCGCAGCCCTGGAGCCAGCTCGCCTTATCTCGGTGAATATATACATCTATACTTATATATCTAAGTATTAATCATTAGACACTCCTTTGTAAGTTTACGTTCAAAGCTTTATATGTTTGTATACAGAGTTAAATTTTCCATATACGTCGAACAGAATATTCGTTTGATTGTAAATATTAGAAAAACTACTGATACTATGTTGCATCTATACTTATATATCTAAATCTTAATCATTAGACATTCCTTTGTAAGTTTATTTTCAAAGCTGTTTGTATTAAGAGTTAATTTTTCCATATAAAGGAAACAGAGTATTCGTTTGATTGAAAATATTAGAAAATTACCGATACTATGTTGTAGTAAAAGATTGATATAAAAATTATTATATAGATAGATAGATTTCTGTAATATTAATTTAAACGAAGCCAATAAAAATCTTAAATAAGGTTTGTTAAATAATATAAAGGCATTATTACATATGTATATATCTGTTAATTTTCAAATGATATATAAAATAAAGAAAGTATATGATTTCTTCTTTTAATTTTCATTCACATTTTACTATGATAAATATGAAAATTCATATGTATGTATGTATATTTGTGTATTAATCGTTAGTTCCGCTTTGCCGTCGGCGTTATGACGGGCAAGAGTTTAAAACAACTAACATCTAATTAATGAATAGAAAAGCATTTAAACACAATCTTATTTTTATTTTTTGTAATTTTCAGTTAAATATAGTTTGTAAGCTGAAATAATATGATTAAAAACGATTTAAGTTTAATATTAAAACATAAATAATAAATAATTATCCATAAAAGAAAATATTTCTGACAATTTTCTTTATAATTTCATAAATATTTGAACATACAAAATGTACATCGATCTTTTGATTAAACGAATGAACCTATTAAAACAAAATAATGTGTTTTATAAATAGTTTAATTTTTTCAAAACACCATATATACATATATATAAGTTTTTTTTAACATAACTGTCGAAAATGATTATTAAAATCGGACTAAATCTACATCAGGCAATTCTGAGTATAAAAAAATATCTTAATAACTCGAAAACCAATAGAAAGAGTACTAATTTATACCTAAATAAAATTTAAATTAATTGTTGTAGTGTAAGTAATGTAATAAAAATATTTAATGTATTACTAAATCATACATGAACATATAAATAAAGCTGAATTGATAACAAATTTCCTATATTATAATAATATGTACGTAAAATAAAAAAAATATCTATATGTATGTATAAAATTACATAAACAATACATAAGAATTACTTAGAAGCTGGTTTTATAACCAGCCTCTGAGTTATCTTAATTTTGTTTAAATTTTATATAAATAAAAGTCTTACCAAAAGTCTTCATTTAAAAACTACATACTCAGAATACTTTTGTCATGTAAAAATCTTCGCATATTATAATTTAAACGTAGGTTATTGATAGATAAACGGGAAACTCGAAGTATGTAGTGACGATGCAAACTTGTGGTAAGCATAAATATGATGAAGTAATATACAGTCAATCTATTTTGAACATATTATAGAAAAAATCAAGAAATAATTTACATTTAATAATTTATTAATGTCATATAAAAAGTATTTGAGTGATTGAAGGCAATTTTAATGAATAAAATATTATATTTTTTATTATACGATAATTTTCGTTAATAATTAAGAAAAATATGTTGCTAAATTAATATAAAGTAAAAATGATTTCTAACAAGAATCACTCTGGAGTTGCTTGTAAGATTCATCTTATCAAAACAACCAAGTTATCTTATATAACGAGAAATTAAACAAAGGTTTAATATGTACATTTTAAATATTTGTATCAAGCTTTCATATGATATAATAATTATAACAAAAATAGTATTTTTGGTTTATATAATATTGTGTATTTATTTATAAGTTTGTTGTTTTAGAGAATCTTTTTTGATAAGTAAAATTTTAAACTGTCCATTTTAATCAAATGATGGCAATAATTTACGTATGTAGGTACATTAAATTTTTTTTTTTTGTTCTGTCAACACTAGACATTTGTAGTGTAAGCGACACGTAAACCACTGATTACGAAAATAAGTCTAGTTTCCATAATTAATATATTTCTTAATATAAAGATGAAATAACGTGTTCAGATAAGTATAATTCTGATATAAATAACAAGTTAAAAATTCTGATAAATTCATATATAAAGTTAAAATGAAACTTAATTTACGGATACTACTTTTATTATGTTCTACCTACATAATTAAGACATTTCGGTTCATTTCCAGAAACCGTATTCAAGGGTAGAGAAGATCAAAATGGCTTTATCATTACGTCTACCGATAATAGTATCCGTAAAATATATTTGCATTTAAATGTGTAAACTAAAAAATCATAGATATAAATATATACAGTGATGTTTTAAGCAGAAAGTACGAGTATAAATAATGAGATTGAGAAATAGAAACGAAAGTAGACTCGAGTTAAGTAGATTTTAATTTTAGCAATGACCTTTTTTATTTTACACAATTAATGAGTGTAAATCTTAATACATTTGCTAATAACATAGGTATAATGTACATATGTGTTTACAAAAATATATAAAAAGTAAGCCTTATGAAATAACATATACCTACTGTGAAAAAAATGATGATTTTTCTACCTGCTTTTGTTTACTTAATTGTTTAACTAATGTTTGTATGAATATTTGTTTATTCAATGTAATTTTGGTCGATAGAAAGTAATTGAAGACGGGAGGTTGTATGATAAAGTTACAAGGCGTTTCATTGAGATATTCTATGCTTAGATAAAGTATTGGATCAATACAATACATACTTTTTATTAATTAATTGAATTAAACTGAATTGAACTCATAAATTGAATGAAAATACTGGAAACTATTCATATGTAGGGCACGATGCAAACATATACTAAACATAGCTAATTGGGAATATAGAAAGGATCATAGTGAAAACGAATTAAGTTAAAAGTTGATATATAAAAGACATGATAAATTTCCGTCTTTATTAACTTCTAAACAATATGAAACCTTTGGAATAAAGAATCAATCTATTGAATTTCTATTCTAAAATAAAATAGTCTTAGGAGCTAAAGGTAACAACGTCTAATTGGGAGCGCAGGCGCAGGTTTCGTGTTTCCTTTCGTTGTTCCAGATTAATTGCGTGGAACCGTTCGTAGTAACAGCGCCCAGGGATCGGGACACGCCACTTACATACATACCTCAATATTGTAAAAGGAATTGCCCTTTAAATGATGTAGGCATGCCGACCTAACACGAAATATATACACACAATATGTGCTTGATGTACAATCGAAATATTATAAATGGGAATTTTTGGAAAGAAATATATGTTATTCATTAAAAATAACTTTGTTATATTTTAATTAATGATAGTCTATATTATCTACATTAAGTTTAATTTTAAGGTGTCTACCTATTAGCATCAAAAAAGTCTTTAATACGTCTAATAATGATTTACGTTCAGTAATTGTGATTACTGTAGGTAAATATTTTATTTGAAAGATTCTTTTTGTATATATCTTAATTAATGACAGTATGTTTTATCTACATTATGTTTAATTTTAAGGATTGTATGTTTTAGTTTTTGGCAAAACTTTAGTCTGGTTGATTCCTACTAGTGCTAAATGATTCCTATAGTATTCTTCTTAATGTCTATAGGTCCATCTTCAAGACAGAGTTCCCCAGCATCTTTAAGCTCCCCCGCATCAAGTTGTCGTTCACCAGTTCCTGAAGAAGATGTCGAGGTGGATGTGGAGCAGTGCTCTGATGGAGAAAGAGATGCCTCGGACACTGCTGCACCATCGCCCGCCCCTTCGTCAGGTAATATTAAGTAATTATTCTGTTTATACTATAAATGTTACTTCTGATACTTTTACCGGTTTTTTATACAATCTTGCGATAGAAAATTAAGCCTATTATTAAGGTTTTGTATTTATTTAGTCCCTGACGTTTTATAAGTCTCCAAAATCATTATGGATCATTATGAATGACTTTAAGTAAATTTGTATCGAAAAGTTGGGCACCAGTTTGCTAGAAATTGAGGTCTAAATTAAGGAGATAAATTAATGAGAATTACTGAGTCTTTGTTAAAGATTTTAGGTATTGTTTTTTATTTATTATGACTGAGTTGACTCTTCAATTAAAATGTATTTTTTTATAGTTATTGCATTAAGTATAATTTAATAATTCTTATAGGTATGCTTAAAACAAAGGAGACCCATTTCTGTCCTTAGTAATTGCGTAATATTCGTAGGTATGTAGTTCAGGAATATTAAAATTAAATTTGTAATATATGCAAAATATAATAAATACTTATTAAGAACATTTAAAATTCACACAATTTTCTTAGAAGCCTCCAACTGTTATGAGTCAAGTGGTGGTAATATAAATTTTTATTGTAGTACATAGGTAAATTGATTTTATGTTTTACTGCAACAAATGTCTGTTATTTCAATATAAAATTAATGAACATTAGAATAAGGTGTATTTTTCTAAATTTTTTAGCAATAATGGTATTATTAAGTAATTTAAAAGAATCTTTCATCACTAATTCACATGTATGTATGTAAAACAAGATAAAAGCGTGATCGCGGTTAAATCGAATCAGTGCATAACATTTGATACAAATTATCTCAATCAGATGAAAAAAAATAATGAAATTATTATTAGTGTTGCCATTAAAATGTTCTGTTCTCATCGGAACAACAGTTCACACCGTTTGTTTGATAGACTATGTAGCGAACGTAATATTGTCTAAGTAATTATAAGGCTTGGAACACACTGTCATACAGCTTATTTTTTTACACATATATCTATTCTTTTACATTTTTACTCTATGGTTTTTGAAGTAACTAAAATATTTAACCATATAAAACTTTTACTACTATTTGATGAAGTATATATGATATATGTATGTATTTACTTTTGCTCTTCGTTAGAACCACAGTCCGTGTCGTGTGCATGTAACCTTATAATAATAGGTACATTGTATGGTTTTTCTTCCTCTTATTGACTTATTATACATGAACAGCAGCTATAAATTAATTTTCAGACATGTTTTTGTTACTAAAGCAATCAATTCTCTCGCATGTATCTTCCTTAAAATAAAGTGTTATATATTACTATGAACTGTTCCTACTAGGAACGTATTAATTCAATTAATTACATAGTTGTACAGAGTAAAGTAATAATAATATCCGAAATAAATGTCATTTATATACCACAATTAATTTGCTAAAGTTAATTAAACTTGTATAATGAATACGACATTGTATAAAATACTTTAATACGAAACCTTACAAGGGCCATAAAGTTATAGCCATAAAATATAAGTAGGTTATAGCTATAAATATAAATATGAAACATTAACATCATAAAACGTAATAACGCCAATAGGTTCAGGTTCCAAGGAAAGTTCAAAGGCCAATGTGACATTTAAAGTAAATTTGATTGGCTAGACGAAGGTCTATAATGATTCGGATGTCCGCAGAGTTAGGTGAAAGGGACACCCCTTCCCCGGCGCGGCCTCTGCCGACACCGGTGACATCTTGTAACTGTGAGGAACTGCTCTCTGTCGACTGCCAGTTGGAGACAAAGGAACTTTGGGACAAGTTCCACGACCTCGGAACAGAGATGATCATAACCAAAACTGGAAGGTAAGTTTTTTGAGATAAATAATTTAATTTTTCCATCAAGAAGTCAATTATCTAACAGTCATTACTCGATTAAAACATTGTAATCTTTTACTTCACTGAGAGCGCACTCCCGGGTTCACTTGATAATCACCCTAACAAAGGGTTCGAATGGATTCATCAGATAAAGTGGCCAATTTCTGTATAATTACTTTCCAAACCCGCTCGTCCTTCAATCCTTTAACGAGATAAATTAAAAGTACATTTTTATCCTAACCGTTTTAATGTCAGGCTATAAATTCACAAAGCCCCAAAGACAACAAACGCCAAGGGGAGGGGAAGATGTTTTTATAGTCACGCCGAGAGGTTTATCTAAATAATTGCGTAGTCGGTGGCGGTGAGCGTAAAATTGGCATTGTTCGCTCGGGCTCGCTGCATTTTGACACGGACAAGTCTCTTTAGTACCGACACAGACATAATTGACTTTTGATATATTAAAGAGGCCTAACGCGACGTCACATTTACACGCTGTTTTGTGAAACAATATCGTTTAATGTTTTATATCTATCGTTGTATGTCAATAAACGGTACGGAGAAAGTAATTGTTCAATGTATATGAAAAATAGGGAAATTAAACATGTCTGTGACTACGTAACATGTACATGATGATTAGGTATGGTAATTAGATTCAGTAACATTATAGATTCGTTGTATTATTCATTCAATAAACTTTATAACTGTAAAATATAGATACCGGTACAAATTATACATGGTATAAAGTCCTATTTAGTGTGTATGATACGAGGGCAACAAGTGCAGAGTAAATCAGTGGCCCGGGATTCAATCCCGGGGGTAATGTCTCTATTGTACTGCTACATATAACGCACAGTTTTGATATTTTAAAATTACTTAATGTACTTTATTCCTTAGTAAGCCAAGTTAAAGGTTACAATGAGTAACTTATACAGGAATGCTTTTGTAATAGTTTAAATAGATTTTTGAGAATTGAAAATTATTTATAAAACATGTCAGTACTTTAATTTTCTTAGATATACCTAACACTGTTTCTTAAAGATTAGGGTATATATCAGATACATATTTTTAACTTTAATTTCTGATACTTTTTACTTCAAAATTCTCGTATCAAGATCGCTCAACCGGAGTATCGAGAGCTAAACAAGAGATAAATCAAGCCGTCCAATCAAAATGAGATATCAGGGACAAATTTGATCAGGGAGGGCGGCGGAGCGTGTTTTTAAATTGCTTTACAATGTTTCCTCTATTAATTTTTAGGATACATTTAAGATAACAGCCCCCATTTTGTATTAAATATAAATCATTTTTATACTCTTCTATACGGAGAAGTTACATTTTTCTTCATATTATTGCTGCATTAGTAGGTTTAATAAAAAAAACACATACTAAACAAACTTATCGATATTAGAAGTAAATTTTTAAAACATGATTATATTGTCATCAAGACCATTTTTCTTGTCCAGAACATGTTTTTGTACGTCATCCATATTAAGCTAAAACGTTTACCCGACTTTAGCATTCCTTTTGTTAATAGAGTCGCCATAACAAGCTATTAAAGGGTAATCGAGCTGTTGCATTTTAAGCTGTAAATGCATATACAGGGTGACTGGTGAATTACTATCGATATTTGAGGACGTGATATTTGACGATCATATATGACAAAATAAAAATTAATATAACATAAATATTAATAAACTTCTAAGTAAAGTTAACCAAAAGTTACGTAATTAATTACGCATCGTATGAACACCCTACAGATTAGGTATACACACACTCACACAGACGCGGCGGCGGCGTAGTGTTGTATCAGCACGCCGCCGCACGCGTCCACACTAGGAACACTTGGAACGTGTACACACTTTATATATTTATACGGAAATTTGGTCAAAAATTAAGTACCTATTTTTTTTACATAATTCGAATGAGAATCATGTTCCGAGTATGCTCCTTAAATATTGATAGTAATTCACCAGTCACCCTGTATATACATATGTATACATATATATACATACATATATATCGTTTGTTTCTCACAACATTGACAATAATCGAGTCATTACTTAACAGATATGATGAAATAAATATATATATTTATTTCATCATACTGACACTGAAATGATTTCTATGTCATAATTTTATCGTAATAATTATCTTACAATTGATTATTGTAATCAGTATAATTATTTTAAGCAGTCGTATAAAATTATCAGTCTGTAAAGATTTTTTTGTAAACAATAATAATTAATTAAGTTCTCAAGTCATCGCTACAATGATAATTTTCATTTATTCAGGTCGTTGTAATTTTAATTACAAATATTTTTTTGGTATTTCGTTTGTATTGAATGAAGTTATTTAATGTTAAATGAAAATAATATTTTTGGATGTACTTCGCTTATTCGAAGTTTCGGTTACTTTGCCGCAATTTTGATTTTAGTTTAAAATAATAATAAAAACGAGTAGTATATCCGAAAATTTTAGTCTAATTAAAATGAATGCTCGTTAAAATCTTAAATCATTTACTTAGGTAGTACAAACTTATAGGTATGTATAGTATTATAGTGAAATATATATTACTTTGTTTATTAAACTATGATATCGCAATGGTATTTAAGTTAAAGGTATAAAATGTCGTTCGGTCCGGGTTATTCATATATTTTTTTATACATTTTGATTTACAAGCGACTTTACGTTTACTGCCGACTTTCTTAAGACCTAACTGGTGACGATTTATGTCGGACTCCGCTGACAATAACACTCAAATATTTGAATGTTTATTATACTAAAGATGTTTTAACAAGGCTATAAATATACGATTGTTATTATGTTCCAACCGTTTTTTTTTATAATCGATCTCATAAAGTTTTTAATGCTATCAATTATATCATTAATTATGATATTTAAATGTACCTAATTGTGTAATGGAAGTTACTTTGAATTTCATTCATTATGGCAATGCTGTTTCTTGTGCGCTCCTAGTTTTAAAACAGTAGATGGAAAAATTTACAATAATTAAAAGATACCTTATAAAAAGTAATGATTGCAATTATCCAATTATTGTTCCGTAATTGTTTTGTAAACGTGTTGATATTGCGACCAATGTCGTCAAGGACTGGCTTCAAGCGTTTATAGTTTCTAATACTTTACAGTTACGGTCCAATTGTTATGAATTAACTAATGAACTTTAAACAATACACAGTTCAGTTTTTAGATGCATTCGTGGCTTCACCTATCACGGTTATTCTAATTCATGTTACCAAATGCCAATAGGTAATTCTTGTTAAATATAATATTTACATTAACATAAAGAACGTTTAATCCTCGTGATATATTTTTGCATAGTTATATTATCTGATATTATTGGTAGGAACAACAAAGTATCGGCTCAGCATAGGCTATATTAGAGATCGTAACTTTTTATGAAGGTGCTACAAGTATGGTCTTTAAATAAATATTTTATTACACGGACTTTATTGTATTGATAGTTTTTATGTTGCTGACGATGTCCGTTGATTGCCTGTACTTGTTTACATGGTACCTTATTTGTGACATTCTATAATATCTTATTAGTCAATATTGATAACTATGGATTTAAATTTAGTTATCTACGCCCTTAGAATAACAAGGATAAACATTCCATTCAAAACAAAATCATAATTTGTATGCTAGGTTTGCGATATATTTTTAACTAGCTTTCCGCCCGCAACTTCGCCCAGGTGGAGTTCGATTATATCGCGATTCCAAGAGAACTTTTAAAAAGTCTGGGATAAAAACTATCGTATGTTCTTTCTCAAAGTCAACTCTATCTTTGTACCAAATTTCATTAAAATCTATTCTGTGGTTTAGGCGTGAAAGCGTAACAGACAGACAGACAGAGTTAGTTTCGCATTTATAATATTAGTAGGGCATTATTTATAAAAATTGAATACAGTTTATCTAATTTTTATGTCACATAGATATATTAAATATATTTATTAGTAGCAGGAAACTGTCGGTTTATTAATCAAGTAATTATATTAATCAAAATGAAAGTCCAACATCTGAATTACGACTATGATTTCCGTTTGTAATTTGATTGAAGATCAGCTGGCTACATTCCTTTGTGAGTCTTCAAGGTGTTGACCGGCGTTAATAATATAAAGGCACCGTTTTACAATATTTAGTGTAAACCTGACAGTTGGTGTGTTCAATGATTACCGACCCTGAAGTAATTATTACATTTTTTTCCACCAATAATACTACAGGTGCCTATTAGACCGTTAAAAGGATTATACACAAATGTTAATACAATGCTATTACGCTGTAAATTCCTCTAAGAACTTTTGTTTTTGCGTTACCAATGATGGTGTATAAGGCGAGATGCTTATATGGTCATTTAGTCATTAAATGTTATTGGTTAAATAATATATTTCTGTTAATACAAAAAACGTCTGACTTAATGTAATCAGTTTTAATAAATCGTGCATTGTGTACGTCGGGTGGCAACACCGTCGAGGCACATGCACTCAGTTTAATTGAAATTTTCGTGGCTACGTGTTATTTCGCGCTAATGCACCTTTCAACTTGACACGTACCTACTCCCGCGCATTATAACGAAGAGTTCAACGCCCCGGGAGATACTCTAAAAGGATTTATAATAACAGCAATTTATTAGCATTTATATGCTCAATATAACATACTGTTCGACCGCAGGCTTGTTGCAGAGTTCTTAATTTAATAATATGATTGATGAAAATCGAATGGGTTGAAAGAAATTATCAAGCGGTAAAAATAATTGATTATTCCTAAATTATTTGTTAAAATATAAGAAATTTGAACGTCAGAGTTATGTCCGTCTGCTGACTTCAAACGTTGAACCAGTTTTAAAATTTGTTATAGAGAGACATACTTTAATTTTTATTAAAATATATGTAACTTGTTTCATTCATCCGAAAAAAATTGTAAATCAATCTCTCAACATAACAGTAAAATGCAATGTCAATAATGTTTTC